GATAGGAGAGGATATATAAGATTTTTAAAATACCTAAAATGTCTTCTAATCAAAATTTTAAGTCAAATAACCAAAATTATTAGTTTGCTAATTTAACCATTGATTTGTGATTGAGATTAGATTTCACAATTATGACAAAACTAACCAGTTCTCCCTTCAATGACTTTCTCTCTCTCTCTCTCTCTCTCTCTCTATATATATATATATATATATATATATATATACATATATATAGGGGCTTAATCAAATGAAAACTAAATTGTTTGTGGTAACTGTGAGAACCAATCTCAACCACATATTATAATAATCAATGGGTAAGATTAAAAAGAATCTTAATTAATGTAATTCTAAAAATAAATTACTGTCATTTAATGATATTATATGAATAAGGGCAAGATGGTCATTTTGTATTTTAATTTATTGAGCCGGATTTGAACGTGCTACAAATCCGTTAATATTCTTGTTCAATTCGAATCCAAATAGAGTGAAGATACTTTCTTGTATTCGAGACGGAGATGATTGCTTTAAGCCCTAGAGTAATCGCAAGTGCAACTCTATACATAAACGATGGAGGATGACGAAGGAATAGGTAAAATCAATGTTTGTTCTTCATTTTCAATATGAATAATCCCGTAACCCTTGTTTTAGTAATGTGGAATGGTACAGGAAGAAGGAGCGGTAGGTTAAAGGCAAAATCGATGTTTAATCAATTTGTGCTACATTGTGGTACATTTAGTGTTGATCATAATCTTTTGGAAAATGGCGTGATACATTGTGATAACATTTAGCATTTGTCATAATGTTTGTCTGGACAGAAAATGGTGTGCTAATTTGTGTTCAGGTTCTTAATTTCTTGCAATACATGGCTTTGTATTCATGATCAAGTTAAAACTTTTGTACTTTCAGGACAATTTGGTTGAGAGTTGGATTGTATGTTAGTAACTTTTGAAGTAATTTTTTTAAAACACACAGCATCTATGGTTTGAGATCAATATTTACTCACTGTTAACATTATACATCTGTATATGCTGCAAATATGAATTGTCATTCTTTTATAGGCAAGACAGTGATTCATATATGAATTGCATTTGATATTGACGTAATTTTACAATTCCGTTATTGACATTATTTATCAACTACTATACTTTCTTTTCATCACAGCCCCATTAACTCTCATTTGGATCTTCTCTTTGTATCAATGAGCATCATAGACAGATACTTTTTTGGCTTATGTCACTCAGTGGGTCATGTAACTAAAGAATGTATAAAATCAAGTTGATTCTCCAACACCCTAGTCTCATCCCCTTCTAACATCTACTCAATCCGTGGTCTAGAAGCTTCAATGTATGGCCCATAAGCTGATTTTATGATTAATAATACAATCTTGAATTTCTCATTGTTTTAGCAGTTGACCAATATACTTCACCCATCCAGTGGAAAACCTTCTTTAATCTAAGATCAATATTGAACATCCTACCGAACTTATGGCTAAATTCCCAAGGGATCCTTAAGTTTCATTAACAGACAAAAAATTCTCATACATTTTCATCATTTTAATATTCCTTCCTCAAGTTCTGTAATTCAACCACAAGCTTTATATTACTATGGTTCGAGAAAGATCAGCTCTAATGCATCAAGGCTCCTCATCTTTCCGAGTGCCGGAGGGAAGTCTTTGTATGTAATCTTTCACTTGATTTTTAAAAGAGGCTATTTTGTGACTCAAACTCGTGTAATCATCGAAAGAGTCCTCAAAATTTTCACATTCTCACATACTACCTTTCTTTAACCCCCAACATGCTTGACGAATTGTTTATAGGCTAGGTTTCCTTTCCCTCATCTTAGTGAACTTGGATAGATACTTGTGACCCTCCTTTAATTCCTAGTCTTTTGTACAGGTCTTTAATGGTCTGACTCCAACTTCTCTTATTGATTTGTAGCAGAATGTACTTTTTTATATAGACTACACTCTTACAAGTTACACACATGTGAGAGTTCATAGCATTCATCCTTCCCTTAATTAGCCTTTTGTACACCATCGCTCCATAACCAAGTTCATATAGTTGTCTTTATTTTTCTTACTCTGATGACCTTGTTTTTACCTTCAATTGCATGTTGTCATAACCATGTCTATATCCTGTAAACTTTTGATCCTTAAAAACATATTTAGTTATCTTTATCTAGGCTTGCCCACCTACTTTCAGTACGTTTAACATTCTTACTCCATCTAACACTATGTCTAAAACAGATGTTTATTGCTACCAACCTATGTTATGTGCATATACACAAGCCATATGTGGCTTTACAATGTAGATCTATCCTCTTTCATAGCAAGGGTAAAGTATATCTGCTACTGGAGTTTTAGTTGCTACTAAAAGTTACTAGGCAAGAATCACATCATCTTAGAAAATATTTATAACCATCTAATTATAGGACGTTGCAAAATTTTAAGGTTTCTTATCATTCTTGATCCTTGCTAGCATACCCGAAATCTCTGTTAATCATGTTAAAATCTCTACTATATTTGCTAACTTGATCATTGAATTCACCTCTTCAAAAAGGATCTCTTCTATTTGGTAGTTCTTGAACAACTTCGTTCAAGACCAACCAAAGGTCCAAGGCTGTCTTTGCTAGATCCATATCCATGCCTACCTTAGAACACATGACCCCCTCGTCAATTTCCTCTTGTATTTTTTGGAAAAAGGGTTTGAGTTACCCTCCAGAGATCCCAACGGTCTCACGGCCATCTTGGGGGAGGTAAATCGTGGTGTCTAAGGACAGGGTGGGTGGGGCGTATTTTCAAAACCGAGACCTTATTGTGGAAAATCTACCCCTTTCTGCTAGGACAATTTAGTGGGGACTCCCCACTAACTAATAAATAGCAAACAAGGGAGATGATGTAATTAGAAAGAAGAGAAAGAAGTTTGATTTGTGACATAGATATCTGTCAAATGAATTCTTTTTTCTTTCTAAATTCTTTCTAAAAAAAATCAAAACTACCACCAAAACTGATTACCAACTTGATAGAGCACAAATCAAACAACACAGTAATAAGTACCACATGAAACCATAACCTTTGGGAAATGAGAATGTATCTATGCAAACAACACAGTAATAAGTACCACATGAAACCATAACCTTTGGGAAATGAGAATGTATCTATGCAAACAACACAGTAATAAGTACCACATGATACCACAACAGTTGGACATGTTATGCTACATTATGGTTTGCATTCTACTAATTACATACTGATGTATTATTTCCCAACACAATAATATGTACCACATGATACCACAACAGTAATATGTACCTATGAAACCAACACAGTAATATGTACCACATGATACCACAACAAATATGTGTGATTTTTTGTGATTCATCAGAATCATGAACATGATTACACAAACGGATTATTTTTTTTGAAATTATTTCACTAAATCATATTAATATTTTATTTTAGGAATGTAAATCAATATTAATTTATTTTATTTGAAACGGTTGCATTTAAAAAATTTAAATCTAAATCATATTAATATTTTATTTTAGGAATGTAAATCAATATTAATTTATTTTATTTGAAACGGTTGCATTTAAAAAATTTAAATTTAAATTTAAATTAGGAATTGACTAACATACCCTTTTAATTTGATTTTAATTGTATAATTAATATATTAAAATGATTGGTTGARATTGGTTCTCACAGTTACCACAAACAACTCAGTTCTCCCTTGAATAGGCCCCTATATATACATATATATATATATACATATATATAGGGGGGCGTTCAAATAAAAACCACTCAATTTGTAAAAACCGTGAAAACCTCATTCAACTAATTATAATTTTTCATTTTGTTCATTTTTTTGTAATTATGAGAGGTTGATTAACCATTTTTATTGTGGAGGGTGTTAATCATGGATATTATCATCTTCGTTATTTAATTTTAGAGAAATACATGAAACAGTTTCATTAAAATTTCATTAAATATTATATGAAACAATTTCATAACCATATATGAAACAAATTGATTAAAAAAAGTATTATATGAAACAATTTCATGAAAAAATTTCATAAGATTAAACAATGAAATCGACGTATGAGGGTTGTTTGTACGACTTTTACAAATAAGAGTGGTTTTCATTTGATCGTTCCTTTCACTCTCTCTCTCTCTCTGTATATATATATATATATAGGGTATATTTCTTTTACAACCTTGTGTATTTGTACAACCTTTGCAACCCAATTAATTTGAGATATTTATAGAAATGATTGGAGTTCATTTATTATGATTTGAATATTTATGGAATATGAACAATGTTTATTAATTACAATTAATACTTTATATTAGGAAACAATTAATTGATTAAAAATTGAATGGTTGAGATGAGGGTTGTATAGGGTGTAGGAATGACAAAGGTTGTAGAATAACATCCCTCTATATATATATATATATATATATATATATATATATATATATGGAGAAGTTCATTTGAAAAGTGCTAAATGTGTGAGATGTAGAGAAGTGATCCTAATCCTTCATCTGGTCAACATTTACAGCTTTGACTGTGAAGCATCGGATAATTTGGTCACATGGTCTGTGGAAGATAGAGAGGTAGTTTTATAGTTTTTACAAATAGGTGGCAAACAAGTGTATATGTGAACCTTTGTAACTCGCATATGAACTACTTGTGCATATGTGAATTCGTGCGATTCATGTATAAACTATTTAACTGATTCACATATAAACCCATATGATTGACATATGAGTTATTTAATTGATTCACATATGAACATGTATAATTCACTTATAAACTAATTAACTAATTTACATATGAACTATTTAACTAATCACAAGAATAAAATAAATCTAACTTGAAAAGTAGGGTCAGGATGGTAAATATACACAAACACGACTTCTAACGTATCTCAAACGGTGAAACAATTGTCACCTTGTGCAATACTATCGGCAAAAGTGTATATAATAGAATGAACAAAAACTATAACAAATAACGAGTAGTAACGAGTAGGTACATTAGAAACATATAAAACAGTATAAATAAATCTATTTTGGTGTGTTCGGTTTCCGGGAAATGGCATTATTTTCCGATATTGATGAACCGAGACTTAGCATGAGCGGATAAACGGGACTGAATTCCTTATCTCCTCGTGCTCTCACACGAACCGCATAATCATCAAGAGTCGCTTTGATTCCTTTCCAAATCTGCTCCTCCCCTTGAGAATCCAACCATAACGAATATTGTATGGGCGTAAGTTTATTCCTCTGCATCGGCGACTGCAACTCATCGGGACCTCGAGAATAAAGATGGTGAAGTAAAACACTGGGCGGCAAGTCCTGAACCAGCGGTGACGCACTCAGTTGCGACGTTTCCAGGAAAATAACAGGCCGTAACGCTCTCAGGGCTCGATATGGTGCACCAAGCTGTTCCACAGGGAACAAGTTCTGACCCACAGCTAGTTCCAGCTCGGCCATGTCTCTAGCCATTCTCAGCTTCCCGGATTCCGAAAGCGGCCGAACGAGCGATGCGTGACGGATGAAGAATATCAAAACACGAGACGCCATGCTTCTGACAAGCCTCGTGCAAATAGTTTCTGTCCCAACTGAGATCACTTTAGCCGATGATGGCAATAATCGTAACAAAAACTCGCTACGGAAATGAGTGATGTATTTTTGGAGTTCTTCCATGTAGGACGATGCGTTGTTGTCCATTGCGGCATCAGCACCCTGAGCGCCGAAATTCTGATCGTGGATTTGCAAGATGCAGGATTCGAGACGGTCGAGCATGGTTTGGAATAAGGACGTTACTGAATCACAGGCAACTTCGTATATGGTGTTGAGTGAAGGAGACAAGACGTCTGATGCAATCGTGGGAAATCCTTTCGTCATGGAAGATACACTGGCGTGGATGTCTTGTAAATGCTGGCAGAGTGTGAAGTTTTTAACTTGAGCGGCCGTAGCAGGACCTGTTATCTGACGTGCTTCTGGACCCGTTGATATCTACAGTCAAAAGTTCAATTATAACTACTTATAAAACAAAAACCAAACAAGCACAGCGTATCCCACCAGAAGGTGGGGTCTTGGGAGGGGGTACGATATACATAGACCTAACTCTACCCCAAAAAGTAGAGCGATTGTTTCCATGAAGGCGTCCGGCTTGTGAAAAGTGTATTAAAAGGAGAGAAAGAGAGGTGTGATAAATTTTGGACTAATTAACTATTGCAAATCACCAATATTTAGGCCATGTTTGGCAAACTAGTTGTTAGCTATAAAGCTAGTTGTTGGTTCAAGCTAGTCTTTTTGAAGTACAAGATATATATATATATATAGAGGGATGTTATTCTACACCCTTTGCCATTCCTACACCCTATACAACCCTCATCTCAACCATTCAATTTTTAATCAATTAATTGTTTCCTAATATAAACTATTAATCATAATTAATAAACTCTATTCATATTCCATAAATATTAAAATCATAATAAATGAACTCCAATCATTTCTATAAATATCTCAATTAATTGGGTTGCAAAGGTTGTACAAATGCACAAGGTTGTAAAAGAAATATAGCCTATATATATATATATATATATATATATATAGATGAGCGATCAAATGAAAACCATCCTCATTTGTACAAACCACCCTCATACGTCGATTTCATTGTTTAATCTTATGAAATTTCATCTTGTGAAATTGTTTCATCTTGTGAAATTGTTTCATATATGTTTATGAAATTGTTTCATATAATATTTAATGAAATTTTAATGAAACTGTTACATGTATTTCTCTAAAATTAAAATAATGAAGATGATAATATCCATGATTAACACCCTCTACAATAAAAATGGTTAATCAACCTCTCATAATTACAAAAAAATGAACAAAATGAAAAATTATGATTGGTTGAATGTGGTTTTCACGGTTTGTACAAATTGGGTGGTTTTTATTTGATCGATAATCAGGCACAATTTCTTTGGTGAAGTTTGAACCCTTGACCTCCTAGGAGGTTGGAGTCTAGTAATAACCCAAAGACCACTGGGCCAATGACCTTTTGGTAAACTAATAAGCTAGTTGTTTGCTAACAAGCAAGATGACGATGAAATGACCTAAACTGACAATGTCATAAGGGGCATAATTGACAGAAAGTGAAAAAAAAAACCACATAGCTTACTGAAAAGCTATTGGCGGCATCTTTTCTAAAAATGGCTTACCAAACGGGAGTCTTTCAGTAAGCTCAAAAAATAAGCTAGCTTATGGTTGCCAAACAAGGCCTCATCGTCTTGGTATTGAATTCCTATCTCTTAATAGTTTTCTGCTCAGTCAAAGATTGAATTATGCTCATACACTCGATTCCACATTCAGGGTTCAATATATGTATTTGGTTTTTTATCTCCAAAATTGTTCTGTTCTAATATTTATTGATATATGATTAATGTAGCTTTCAGGGCAACTTGTTAACTTTGAAGTTCAAATGTGGAGTATGTTGTTTCAAATGATACAAAGAATGGCTGGAAAACAAGCATTCCAAAATTCACAATGTGAAGTATCGAAAACCCTAATCAAATTGATTCATCTGCAATCTTATCATTACATCCCTAAGATCTCTCATTGGTGAGCCCATCCACATTCAGTGGTGATGGAAATTGCAATTATGATTTACTCATGACAGGAGTACAACTTCAATATACCATTAAGACACCTCATGTTATTTGTCTGTTTTTATCATCAGTATCTTTATTTCAATAAAATTCTACCAGCGAACAATGTCACATGTGATATATTTTTCATTTAATGGATGATCGTTGTATATCATCTTTGACTCTCTAATATTTCTTTTTCAGGGAAATTCTATATAGCCGACTTGACTTGATTGTCAACCAGAGTAAATCTCCATTTGGGATCTACAGTTGAAAATTTGAACTCCGTCCAAACTTATAAGATGTTTATCTACATATATACAACGTATATAAGCCTACCCCCAAGAACGATATTCCAAAAGATTAAAACCAAACCAAACAAGCCCAACACATAACACATAGTGATAGGGTTGGGGTTGGGATGGGGGTGAGGTTGCATGCAGACCTTGCCAGAGGCTGTTTCCGTGAAGACCCCCATTGTGCAAAACAAGAAAACAAGGATGCAGGTGAGACAAACAGCAAAAAAGTGCAAGTAAACAAGCACTATTAACATATTCCAAGGGTGATATTAAAATATTGAGAAAAGTCCCTTGTTAACTGTGAGTATATTAATCTTTACATCTTTAGTAGGGTAGAGTATGTAGACCAAAAAACCTGGGTTCATAATGTCCCCAGAGGCACATACACATACTGGACTAATTGTGTCCATTCTTAGTTACCCTTCCAGTAGATCAAGCAAATCAAGTTTCCAACTAAGCAACAAAAAAAGAGCAGATAATCCTTGATCACTTGCGTCATTACAGAACTAGGAGATCTTCTAGGCATTCTAACATGAGACAAATAAAAAACATGAAAGCTTCTACCTCTGTAACAACTTGCATGCATTGATATTTCAGTTTTTCTTCGCATCAGTCTGGTAATAACAGTAAGGATTCTAAAAGAGATTCCAGTATTGTCTTCAAGATAACATGCATAAACCTTTCCTAACTATTTGATTTGTACAGAAGTTGAATCAAAATGCTAATTCATTGGGTTCTTCCAATCATGGTCTTCAGTGCATGTCTATGGAGGGTCAAGTAATTATTCAGCATAATATGATGAATATTATCCCCCTCTAACTCTACATCCCTCCTCATATTATGTTATTACAGAGTAAAAAAACAATACAGAAGCAACCAAAGACAAAAGCAACTTGACCAACTATAACCTGCTTTCATTCTTCTTACTGTAAGAAGGTTATTCATATTTTGAGTTGTTTAAAGCTAACCAAGACCTTTGGATGCACCATATGAGGAGACTGGTACTTAACAGGAGGCCATATAGAGAGGTAGGGTAGGTTATGATTGACAAGTGGCAACGGGCAAAAGAATTTTTGCCCAGGTAGAACATATCAAATGAGTTAACTATAGATAGTAGGTGTAAAGATACTATTCTTCCAAAGGCCAGGGAATTTTCCTATTTATACATGGTGGTTCCAATTGGATAGTAAACTAGTGATATATAGAGCACTCTGCATCAGGTATCATGTCTTTTCATACAACCTAGGAACTTAAAAAATAAATACTTGTTCTCTATTCTGAATTTATTATTTTGAGTGAAAAATGGAAAATAAAAACATGCAAAGCACAGGATTACAACTTGGTTTTTACAAAAAAGGTATCAAAGTGAACATACCTGGTACTCGGCTCGTTGTGCAAGCAAAAGCAGGACTTTGCTGATCTCACGCAGGACAAGAAGTGTCAACCGTGCATCTAATTGAACAGCTTCAATCTCTTCCTGGATGCGTGATATAATTCTCGAGATATGTTCTTTGGAGGGAACACTGCCACGGTTTGACATGGGGAATACGGTGTTAACAAGATCTGATAGGCGACTCAAGCATAGGGCCAAGAACGCTGTCTGAAACACTTCAATGGCGGCAACCATTTGATCTCTACCTTCTACTGTTATGGCAGGTAAAACTCCTTTCACGTCTGTGTCACGTGAAATTCTTTCAAGAAGATTTTCAATCATAGCGAAGAGCTTTGGATAACCAACAGTAAAAATCTCTTTAACAAAGCTTGATGCTGTGAAAGTAGATTTCATTTGGTTTGCAAATGATTTTACAATTGCCTCCCAAACACGAGCAGTTAAGATAGGGTCACCTTCCTACAAAGAAATAAGCAAACATAAACACAATGTTAGAGGAAGACGCATTACTAAATCAACTGTATAGGGGGCAATTTAACTTACTGACCTTCTACAAACTGACTTAAGAATCTACCCTCTAGTGTATTTTCAAGTTCTTATGGAAGCAGACTGTTTTATACCAGAGGCAGGGGAGATGAAGGTCATCGAGTTAAAAAAAATTAGAATGTCATGCTCCTAACTGAAACCTAATTTAAGGTCATTTAAGGGACCATTATATAGGAGGCATAATATGGTAAAGAAATAGACTAACAAACCTATGGCATACAATGATGCATCATGATCTCTAACCATAGGGACTAAAAAGTAGTTCAGTCAGTGTTCCAAAAAGCCTTACGTGGAGGGGTAGGCAAACGACCAAATGCCCGACAGTGAATAGGTTAAGCAGATGAACGTGGCCAAAAAACACCAAATCAAGTGGGAGGTTAAACGTCATCCACAATGTATATTAGATTAACAAAGGATGTGGCTAAGGGATAGATTTCGGTTCATGATACCAGCAATAACAAAATGCCATCACAAGCAACTAATAATATCATACTTATTCAACCCGACCTTCCTGGATGATACAGAAGAGTAAATTTCTTTAAGAAGATTCACTAGTATGTATTGTCAAGAACATCATTTTATGAACTTGTTAGGGCCATTCAAAGAAATAATATATAAATTCATTAGCATAAACAAATAACATAATTGATACAAGTATCAACTCACCTGCATCACCTCGTCAAGTAGCAAAGCATGAGTGAAGGGATCCCTTTTCTTTGATAATACCCTCTGCAAATGCCAAATAGCAACCACGACTGAATGCAACTGATCCATACAAGTAGCCATCCTCTGCCATAATGCCTCCTTAGCCTTAGCCCCGCTGCCAAACTGCGGTGTTCCACTCCTTTGTATACCTCCGGGACCACCAAAACCGCCACCTCCTCCGGATGAAGATATGGTCTTCATATCCAAGGCAACACTCACGCTCTTCACACCCTGAGTCTTGTACTTATTTATCAACCCATCTACGGTTGCCCTCAACTCACCTAGATTGTAGAACACCTGCAAGCCAGCACCAACCTCTGCCTGATTAAACCCTTCAAGTCCCCTTTCCAGTACCTTCATCCCTTCAGAGCGCAATCTCTGACCTGCTTCGAACACCCATTTCAGTTCCTCGTCGATCGGGACGATTCCAGATAGGTCATTCTCATTGCATAGACGCAATATCTCACTGTGCAATTGCGCGGCTTTAGAGAGATCCAGTTTCTCGGTTTCAGGTTCTGCCATCACGTCGCGTAGCTTCTTGGACAGACGGAGTACACGGACGGTGGACTGGAGAAGGTCGACAGTGAAATGAAGGTTAGAGAGTTGAAGGGTTTTAGATCGGATCTGACGGTTGGGATCGGCGATCTCGGAGCGGACACGGCGGACGGAGGATTGGAGGGTGGAAACAGCAGAACGTATGGCGAAGAGTGAGGAATCGGCATCCTTGACGGAAGAGAGCTGGGAGAGAAGGTCATTATGACGAGACAGGACCTCTGAACGAAGCTGTTTCTCGAGGAGACGGATGCCGTCTTGGATCTTCTCGGCACGAGCAGCGGCGGTGCCGGAAGAGAGAGCCTCGGAGGAGAATCGGGTGGAGTCGAAATCTGGAGAGAGGAATTTGGAGAAAATAGGATCGGAAGCAAAGGAATCTAAGAGTGATGAGGATGGAGGGGTGGCAGAGGATGGGGGGGTGGCGGTGGTTCTGTCTTTGAAGGTAGGAAGACGCTGAACAGATGAACGCTGGACCGCCGGCGATGCCATTGTTCTCCGTTCGGAGGTAGATTGGGGGAGGAATCCAGTCCAGGCCCAAGTTCTATCGATCAAAATAGCTCCGACCTCTGTCACTTTACAACCTTTGTAAAAAATGAAATAAATAACAAGAATAATAATAAACAAGAGGTGGGTTATTATATAACATTTTATATTTGTATAACTAATAAAATTTAATCTTTGTTTATTTAATTTGATGAATATGTATTTTTCATAGAAGTTTTGATTGTTTGCTAATATATCTTAATATAAAGTATTGATCATAATTAATGAACCTTATTTATCTTCCATAAATATTTAAATCATAATAAATGAACTCTTATCATTTCTATAAATATTTCAATTTATTGGGTTGCATTGATTGTACAAATGTAATGGGTTGTATTTGAAACAAACTCTGATAAACAAATGGGCAAAGGGTAGTAATGCATTACATTATCTTATCGGATAAATATGGTAAGTGCTAAGAATATTACCTTACTGAAAGTCTTACCTGATAAGTGAGAGTGATGATTCTTACCATGGTTAGCGTTTATCGGGTAAATTATTGTATTTAATACCAGTTTAGTGAATTAAAATCTTACCCAATAAGTATGTGATAATATTGAATTTTACCGACAAATACTTGCATGGATAAGCGTTTGGTAAACGACCCCTTAGTCTCTCGTTCTGCGTAATTCCTGAAGGGTTTGGGGGAAAGAATCCCTGACAAGTTTGGTAAACTCGTGGGTAGCAGTTTAGTAAAAAAAGTTATTTAAAATTTAAAATTATAATGAATCGTTGTTATATTGTTCTCCAAATACTCAGCAATGATGTTTCTCAAAAGATTAATCTTAATCGATCATTTATGTCATCGATCCTTACCAAACCGATAACTCTTTCAATTGATGTCTTTTAATATGATTTAAATATGTTAAATACCGTTAATGACATATTTTCATTTAAATGGATGCTAATTATATAATTTAGATGTAAATTTCGTAATGATGTTGAATAGATATGTGAAATTGTATAAACTTATCTATAAATTCAACATTATAATTTTCTAATGAGTAAAATAGACAATTTAAACAAATTCAGACATTTATCAGTTTACAAAAACAAACGATCTTATTGATGCAGATATCAGACTTCAATACCACCTCTTATCAATCAAAAGTGAAATAAAACTTCAGAATTTAACACCTCTTAAAAAAAAACAAACGTTGTCTTAAACTATTAAGATGAAAGTTTTAAATACACCTTATATAAATAAATAAAAAAGTTGATTAAAATAGTTTTTATTTTATGCAATTTGATTAAACAAAATAAAGTTACAGTTGTATACTTGTATTATAAAAAGGGTTATAGTTATCTTGAAATTTTTAAGAGGTACAAGTTATCTATACAATATTATAAAACATTTGATAAAAACTTTTAATGTGATAACTTGACCCTAGTTATCACCTGAGGTAATTAATATGTGATTATTGATTTAAATGATTATGTGATAGCATGATAAATTGTTATATTTGATCATGCTAGTATATGAAATTATATGCATAATATGGATGCATATATGGATTGGATGTGTGTTTTTGTGTGTGTGCAAAATTATATGTATATATATATATATATATGCATACATGCATGTTATATGAGTACATGGTATGTGTGTACATGCATGTGCATGAAGGTTTTTGTGAGAAAAGGGGTTGGGTTAGCCGCCTTACCTGTTTTGGAAATACATAAAAGGAGGACTTAGCCTCCATTTTCTTCTGCTTGCCTTTTTAGAAAGATTGTGCGATTTAAAAGAAAAGAGAAGTTGACAGGATATTTCTGTTTGGGAGATTCAAGTTGAATTTCAGTATTTGATTTCAAAAGCTTGATAAGGTGAGTAGTTTCTAAAACTCTTGCATAAAGATTATTACTGGTTACCAAAGGGTCTTTGGCCTAGCGGTATCGTAGCCCTTGGCCTCCTAGGAGGTCAGAGGTTCAAACCTCACCATAGGTGAGGAGGGTGTGTGAGTTTATTTATTGCATTTGCCGTATATAAATATTATATACTTCAAAAAAAATTATTACTGGTTTCATATGAATTTTATTTGAATTTGGATAGAAATCAGTCTTTTTGCTGTAAGTATTTATCTGGATATAAAACCGGACAAGGTTTGACCGGATGGCTTTAAACCGGTCAAAGGGTGAAAGATGTATTGTCTGGATTGCTTTAAACCGGACAAAGAGTGAATGGAGTATTGTCCGGATTGTTTTAAATCGGACAAAAGATGAACAATGTGTTGTCCGGATTGTTTTAAATCGGACAAAGGGTGGACGGAGTATTGTCCGGACTTGATATTCGGACAAAGATGATTTTTGTTTCTAAATGTTTAATCGTTCAAGCTTTATACGGGGTATTGACCGGATTTGTTATCCGGACAAATATGTTAGAAATTATTTTAAGTGTTAAGTCGGATAAGCTTTATATCCGAATAACTTATCCGGATAACCTCTTACTTGGAATTTTCATGAGTTTTATATTTTAGACTTTTTATATGATTTAAAATGTTTATTATTGGGTTTATTCATGGATTATAAAATGGGTATTTTAATATCTTTTAAAAATAAAAGATATGTTTCTACCAAGCGTGGTGACATAAGTCTGTTTTGGTATTGAACGGGATTTTGGGAAATGTTTCTACCAAGCGTGGTGACGTAAGTCTGTTTTGGTACGAAAATATATTTTGGGAAACCTTCATACTAAGCGTGGTGACGTAAGTCTGTTTTGGTATGAAAGTGGATTTTATAAATTGTTTCTACCAAGCGTGGTGACGTAAGTCTGTTTTGGTATGAAACTTATTTTAAATAATAGTTCCCCCAGACGTGGTGACTTTTGTCTGTTCTAGTTTGGAACTAGGAATGAGTATTTTCAGACGTGGTGACTTATGTCTGTTCTGATAAGTAGCTCTGTTTTGATGGAGGAATAATGGTGGCATATCAAGGAGATGTGTACTTGGAATAAGGGTGACATTGCCATATGTGGATAATATTAATAATAATTTAGATGTTATTGAGAAGAAGAAAATGGTTTGTCATATCAGGCAAGTATTGCCTTAAATCTTCTGGGTTAATATTTATCAAGGAATGATTTATTGATTCAAGAAGTTTTGGTTACAATACTTATTTGGAAATGTTGGATCTATAATAAAAAATATTTTATAGAACTGAGGTTCTTGGGTATACTCCATATTACATGTTATTATGAACTGCGTCATTTATTGTACTGCAGAATAGTTCTGAGCAAAATTACATTATTATATTTTGGTGTTCATCACCCTGCATTTGCAAAGAAGGGATTTACTCATTAGACCCATCTGGTCTAACCTTCATTTTATGTTTTAAATTATGCAATGCAAGAATAGCAGGGTCCGGGGATATTAGAGGGAAAGGGAAAATATGATTATTTTTCTAACATGTTGTCTGCTTTTGAAGATACATGTTATATCACATGTAATAGTACATGATTTGTTTTGGAAATTTTTATATGTAGATTCTGTACATATAGTAATCCTTGTACTAGTGGGACCTTATGGTGTAATCTATGTTTCTATGTAATGAAATATGTGTTCTATGCAAATGTGGTGTTTGGGGGTGTTACATTTAAAAACCATTTTTATGCATGAAGTACTGTATATTGATACATATTACTTAAAATTCAAGATTACAAGTAAATTATGTATAAGTACAATTTATTAAAGCTTCATGTTTGAATTCATATAACTAACTACGGATAAACATAATCAAATAGAGGATAAACATCTCATTTTATAATATAAAAAATCTAAAATAAAATTAGGATAATTATCGAGTATTCGAGTTCTAACAGAATCATTATCTTTATAAAAATTTTACTATTAAGCAAAAAATAAATTACTTCACTATTTGACCTAAATTAAATTATAATAAAAAATTAATTACATAAAAACAATAACTTTTAAATAATTAATTTGATATTAATATCGATATATTTTTAAAAATATTTATGATCTCTTCAAATTTATTTTTATTCAAAAGTAAAAATTTATCTTTCTCGAAACTACATAAACCGTGTTATATCAACAAAGACAAAAAATAAAACGAAATATTAAAATGAATATGTATCTCGCTGCATTGCGTGAGTACCTTCTAGTTATCCTAAATGTACAAACTTTAAAGTTACATAACCTCCATGTATCCCACTTATTAGAAATAAAATCATTTTCTATTTTTAAATTACATTTTATACATTTATAATTAGTTATTTAATTTAATTTATATCATTTAATTTTTCATTTTAAACTCTTATCATATTAACATAAATAATCATATATGAACTCAAGTGCATTAAAAATACATCTTTTTTTACAAATTACACCATTATTGTCGTACCATCGATACATTCAAAATCAGCTCAATATTGAATATTTTTTGATTTAATCATACTATTAAATAACATGAATGAATATGAATTATTTTGTTTTATATTCCTTAGGTTTTCATTTTTCATCTTTATTATATTAAAAATACATAATCATAGATTTAAGGATTAAATACATGAAATAACAACCTACATTCATAAAATTTATTATTATAACATTCTACTTTTGTTTTTATTTATTACAACAATATACTTTCAAATTATTTTTTATTAAGGCATCGCCCTTTAAAAAATCTACCCATTATACATTAAAAAAAGTGTGTTTCCTTTTTTTGTTACAAATTATATCATTATAATCCTCTCGTCAATATATTTAGAATAAGTTTATTATTGAATATTTTTGAATTTAATAATATTGTAAAATATCATAAATATGTATGAACCTCTATTATATTATAAAAAGACCTTAAATGGTTATATATTATAAAAGACCTTTCTTCAGACATAACTTAATAAATCTAAAGAAATGTACAAATTACGCATCTATAGGTACACGTCACTGTAAACATCGTTAAGACCTTCAATATATAGGAGTTATCTTTAGAACGTAGGTCACAACTAGGCATGTGGAGTGTGGCCCTAATAT